CCGCTGCATCGCCTACTTACACACGCTCTGGAGCGCACAAGTGCAAGCTCTCTTGCTCTCACTCTCTGAATTTTGCCTGCATTCTTCTTCAATTAGTCTTTCGGTGTCTCTGCTGTCGTTAGCTTCACCGTTTGTTTTCGTCACCTCGCTGGATCGTCTGCCGCTGCTGCTGATCGTCGCTCGCTCTGCTGCCCGCTCTTTCATATAGCTTGCGCTGCCACTTTGCGTTCTTCTTCGTGCACAGTGATTCAACTGCTGTCAAAAATGGCTGTGGTCTGCAGTGCAAAGAAATGCGAATTCGGTGGCAACATAGTCAGCGATTCATTCCTCAGCTACTGGCTATGCGACAATGTCGCCCATATAAAATGTGCTGGTGGTGGTAATTTTGGACGACTACACGATCTCATCTCAAAACGTATGGGTCTGACTTGGTCATGTTTGGCCTGCCGGGAGATTGAGGCCGAAATGCTCACTTTTATGAGGCAGACTCGTACTGGCTTTCTGGATGTCCGGAAGCAATTTGTCGCTCTCAAAGAGAAGTTCCTGACCTTGGAATCTCAATTTCTTGGCCTCAAGCTTCTGATGGAATCTCCTAGACGGAAAATCCCTAACACCGATAACAGCAACTTCTTGCAACCTATTGGAATCGGAACGCCTTCTTCTCACCTACATACATCGGCATCCTTGGCTTCGCCGAGTGGTCATACCTTGCCGGAAATCAATCCGTTTCTTATACCGACTAACAATGTTATGCCACTCACTTTATCCATCACTGTTGACACCGCTGTTAGTGCTTCCAGTGTGCGTATGTGCGATGACGTCCCCACTGTTCCTGCCACCGTTCCTGTTCCACCAGTATCTACTGAAAGTGCTTTCGTTTCTGCCCCGGGACTCACTGTCCTCACTGTTCCTGCCACCGTTTCTGTTCCATCCATTGCCTCGGCTGCTGCCATCGTTTCTGCCCCAGGACTCCAACTAAGAGCAGTAGTACCTCAAAAGGCAATCTTTGTCTCTCGCCTCCTCCCAGAAACCACACCGGAAGATGTTAAACTACATCTTAGTCATTATCTCAAATCACCGCCTGATGCCTTTATCATAACTAAATTTAATTTTAAACATAAGCGTAATATTTCAACCTTCAAAATGTTTCTTTCCGATTCTATTCTATCCAAAGCTCTGGAACCGTCCGCATGACCTGAGCACACTATTTTGCATAAATTTCTCCCAAGAAGTTCTTCCCAGAGTCCTAGAGTCACTGTCCCTAAGATTTAAAAAAACTGAGGAACCATTTCACCATCCAATATCAGAATGCACGCAGTCTTTTGGGTACACTGACCAAAATATATACGGATAGTTCCTCTTTTGAATTCGACACTATGGCTATTACTGAAACCTGGCTTATTATACCTTCAACAAATCGAATAAAGTGTTTTCGGAAAAAGAATTTCACCGATTTAAGTTTACATTTCTTGCAAATTGATTGGTCATTTCTTCAGTCGTTATCAGATATAAATGGAATAGTCAACTCGTTTTATGACACGTTAAACTCTGCTCTCAACACCTATGTTTCTGAAGTTACCGTTCATATAACCTCCAAGCCGCCCTAGTTCTCCAAGTATCTGTCCTACCTAAAAAATAAAAAATCCTGGCTTTATAAAAACTACCAGAGGACTGGTTCTTTTTCTGACTTTGCTCAATATTCGTCTGTTCGCTCTAAATTTCGCACTGTCAATAGTCAATGTTATAACCAATATCTTTCCCAATGTAGTACAAATTTCGGTACTGATCCCAAAATATTCTTTTCGTTCGTCAACTCAAAACGCTCCCTCCGTCTCTTCATTTACTGGATAAAACAGAAACGTCAGCTCAAGGTATTGACAATTTTTTTGCCGCCTACTTTCAATCGACGTATTATTCGCATACCTACGCATCCACCCCTTTTCCATACTATCTTCATCATGTTAACAAAGTAGTTCTTCCCTTATTCGAAGAAAGCGCAGTTTTTGAAGGATTGTCATCGGTTGACATCTGACTCTCTGCAGGACCTGATAAAGTTCCGAGCTGTATTTTAAAGTTTTGCGCTCGAGACCTCTGCCAACCTTGCCCCTTCCTGTTTAATTTTTTTTTTTAACGTTCTTGCATCCCCGTGATTTGGAACGAATCCTACCTTACCTCTTCACAAAAAGGGTCTAGATCCAACGTTGAAAACTACCGCGGTATTGCTAAACTTTCTGCTATTCCAAAGCTGCTAGAGCTGCACCTCGTTACTCGTCAATTGCAACACGCATGTCGTAGTACAATATCCCCGTCGCAACATGGTTTCCTTAGTCATCGATCAACATCGACTAACCTTATAGAGTCCTCGTCTCTAATCAACCGAGGCTTTTAAAGCTGCTTGCAAACTGACGTAATTTTAACAGATTTCAGCAAAGATTTTGATTCTTAATCATACTTAATCATACTTTGCTGATCCATAAACTCTCTCTGTTAGGTTTTCCTTCTAATCTTGTAAATTGGATATCGTCGTATCTGTCAAAACGCACACAGCGTCTTCTGTTCTCTAATGTTTTGTCAAATGTCGTGTATGTAACCTCAGGTGTTCCCCAAGGAAGTCATTTATGTCCACTGCTGCTCAATCTGCTTGTGAAAGACTTACCTCAAGTTATTTTGAACTCAGTTACATTAATGTATGCTGATGACGTCAAAATTGGTTTTTCATTTATATTCCGATTGGTACTCGCACACTCGCCTTCAACTTGACCTCGATGAATTAAATAAGTGGTGTTCCTCTAACCTACTGTTTTTGAACCTCTCTAAGTGCAAACTTATGACGTTTCACCGCCGTGCTCCACATCTGGTTTCCTAATCTTTAGGAAAACAAGCTCTGGATCGAATCTCCACATCAAATGACCTAGAAGTCCTGTTTGATCATAAGCTTTGCTTTAACAGCCATATTGGTTTAACGGTGAACAAAGCTAAGGGAGTTTTAGCGTTGGTCAAAAGAGTTTGACGAGTTTAACAAAATCACTGTACGTCTCATTGGTACGCCCGATATTGGAGTACTGTTCTTGTGTATGGAGCCCTCAATACAAAGAGCAACAAATTCAAATTGAATCTGTTCAAAAACAATTTTTAATTTTTGCCCTTAGGAATCTGAACTGGGACTCTGGCAGACAGCCTGAACTGGCCTCCATACCGATCCAGGCTAAAACTACTCGAGCTACCCTCCTTACACCATCGCAGAATTTGCAATAGCGTCTTATTCATTCACAAGCCTATTCTTGGGCTTGTAGACTCCCAAACTCTGTTGGGACAGATACATTTTACAGTTCCTTCTAGACCAATCCGAACTTTCCTGTCTATCCGTTTACCCTTCTGCAGATCTAACTTCGCGCAGCACGAACCTTTCCGTGTTCTTTGCAATAAATACAATTCCTTTTACAATACAAAATCTCCTGAACTATCCCTTGATACGATTGTACGTAACGTTTACCTTCACCTTAACCTAGTAAATTTGTAAAACCTTTCTTTTCTTCTCCTTTTATATTTTTTCTTTAATTATGTATATTCCTATTATAGTTTATAGTTAGCAGATAATTGTTAATTAATGGAAATTGAAAAGCTATATTAGTCATTTTTGTCAGTAAGTCATGAATAATAAGGTTATGTGAGGACCTTATTTCAAGCTGGGATATTCTTTAGCCTGTCCAGGGTTCTCTACAAGAAAATTCGTATATTTGATCGGAACTTAAGGTTTGGGGTTGGCCAGTATGACCGAAAAGATGGGAAGGCAAAGCGGACGGTGTGGCTGCAGAAGCAATAAGCAATGGCTCGGGAGGGCAATAATGACGCTTGCGATTTGGTTTTAGTTATATTTTTTTATTGGTATTTTATTTAATTTCGTTTTAATTTTGGCTTGTGTTTGTTTACGTTTTAGCTTACAGTTCACTGTTACACTGGCCTGCTGAGTGTGGCCTTTTGGCCACCTGAGACCTGAGACCGTGATTGTCCACTGTGTGTCTTTGACCCGGAAATAATTAATAATTGCTAACTTATGATTATTGCGCAACAATTATGGGATGGGGTAAGTAGGTCGAAGCTTAGTGCTTCGTTGACAATTGGATAGTGGGTCAGTGGAGTTGGGGAAGTGTTTTGCTGTGTCTGCATCGCGGCAGGGGATGGCTGAAGTTGGGGATTTGGTTTAGGATTGGTTTTTGCTGAATCTACATCGTGGAAGGTGATGACTGAATGTAGATCAAAACAGGTGGGGGGAATCGAGAATTTTGTGCTGGTAACGCTGATGGCGAAATAACGCAAGAGGTGGGGTGTTTTAAATTGGTGCGTGGAAAACAATGGGTGGAGTTGTTGATCGAGAGTTCTTAATTTTAGTAATTGTGTGTGTTGCTTAAGACTATTTTATTTTCCGGAGGTGCTGACACACCGCTATTTGCGGAGAACCGTGGCCAGAGCCATGGTTCGTTGGCTCTGTATATATCAGTTTGATTATTGTCCCCGACCAGCGTATTTCAAAATTTCGCAGCCACAGTAGTGACTCAAATTTCTTTCCCATTTGTGATATCACATGATTTAAGAATCAAAATTTAGTTGCCCTAGCCTTTTTACATAGTCTCTGAGAACTAGGCGCTCATCGAGACGGACATGGCTTTATCGACTATGCTATTGATGCTGATCACGAATATAAATACTTTATGGGGTCGGAAATGTTTCCTTCTGTGCGTTACTCACATCCACTTCGACCACAAATCTAATAAACCTGTTAACTCTTCGAGTACGGGTATAAAAATATGATGCACATATAACTCATTGTATGATGTAACATAACTGAAAAATATTGATTTTCATCAAAGATATCTTAAATATAACATAAAATCGTTAGTGTCTTTCATTAGTATAATTACTGCCCAAGAAATCTGTACATTGGCCGAGTGTCTTACCCAATAAAACAGCAGAATTATGACAGTACAAATAAAATATAGAAGCATCAAAGTTTATTTCGGAAAACTTTACTTGTAAGGTCCAATGTACAATTTTGATGTAATGTGGTCTTCTCGGATATAGGGTTTTCTGTTTTGGCCCTTACACACCGATCAGATTATTTTAGTTCAACTGAAAATAGCAAGCAAAAATAGTTTATATTACTGATTACTGATTCAGTTTAACAGTTATGTTGGCTGACCAGTCCACCAAACCCTATCGGATAATGTGTGTTGCTTGCACGCGATTGGCAACAACTAATTTTTTATAGTTTATTGAAGCGATCTAACGTAATATATACTTACAGCTAAATGAAACATATTTAGTGTGGGCTATGAAAGACGAGGAATGATATATAAATAATTACAATTATAAATAATTAAATACATATTTAAATTTTTTTTATTATTTTATACCCCATTTTCTTTTTCTATGCTTTTCGTACTACATACTACTCATTTGGCCTAACGCCATGGCATCTTCGACGCAAAGCTTTTCCATTTGATCGGAGTAGAAGGCGTTGAAGTTAATTCGGTGCACCAGATTCATGAAGCGATCGGCGGTGTTCTTCTTAGCCATATTGTGGATTTGCTTAAGAAAATATATCAGCAGTCCGGTAAATTCCTGATCGAAGCGATTTACGCGCTCCGAAAACGTATCTGTGGGATCCAACGAGGTCTCCAACTGGCAGAAGTAATATAAATTTAGTTAAACATTTCACATTTATTATGTTTTCTACGTTACTATTGTACAGAATAATTATCTTAGCTACTGGAAGGAATTTCAAGATCGAAAGCTAAACGGCTAAGGAAGCTAACTTCGACACGCCGGTTTCATATACCCTTGACGTTAAAAGAATACTCCTACAACTCACATTTTAGCCAACCGTTTATCCATAAACTTTGTGAACGATACCTTAAACGACTCCAAATTAATGCACTTATGAAAATAACAAAGAGGTCGGTGCGGCCCTATCTATTGTGGGCATGTATTGTATGTAATGTATTTCTTCATTCTGGGCTATAGTAATGATCCGATCTAACCCTAATTCGGCAATCTGGTAGATTTAATAATTCTCTACGATATTGCGTTTCTTGAACTAAAATTGTTTGACCAACCCTCCGAAAATCACATTTTACCGTTTGGAACGTGGATGGACCTCAAAGCAATGCTTGTTTTGACATTTTTTAAATTTTACATGTAGAAAAATTGGAATTACATACCAAGTAAACAAACGTTGCACCAATTTTAGCATAGAAATTTCTCCATAGATTTTAATAAACAATACTTTAGGTACACAGGATATATTTTTTTTGCGAATTTTCCTGAGTTCTTAAAATCCAAATTTAAAAAAAAAATACCGCACAATAATCATAAATTTTGCATTTGAAAGCCTAATATGGTAAGCTGAAGCTATAAAGTATTCAGATTTTCTTTACAGATGCATTTATTAGCTTTTGAGAATGGCAAAGTTCATTACAACCAGATGTAAGATAGTTAAGTTATGTGAATAAAAGAAGCGCTACCTCTGATAAAAGCATAAAAAAATACCAATTTAAAAAATTTCTTCAAAAAAAGTTCTGCCATGGAAAAAAAAAACAGAATTCTTAAAAATTAAAAGCTCCTAATCTATGTGATGAACTGGTCGTAATGCACTTTGCCATTGCCATTACCGGTAATGCCGTTGCCATTTAAAAAAAAGTTCTTCCGTAAAAATCACACTGAATCAAGTTTGCCTTGACACACAAATTACACTACTCAACACGATTTTTCCTCAAGGAACAAAACCAACTTTTTATTAAAGATTTGGGGCTTAGAAATGGTTTGATGATATTTTTTTTTTTCTATGGCAGAACTTTTTTTTGCAGAATTTTTTAAATCTGGTATTTTTTTTTTAGCTTTTTTCAGAGGTAGCGATAGTTTTTTTCACATAACTTTAGTATCTTACGTCTGGTTGTAAAGAACTTTGCTATTTTGAAAAGATAATTAAAACAGCTAGAAGTTAAGCCCAAACACTTTGTGATTACAGCTTACCGTCTGGGAAATATAAAGCATTGAAATGCAAAAATGATGATTTTTGTGCGGTATTTTTTACGAAATTTTGACTTTGAAAACTCTTGTGTCCTCTATTTTTTTGTGTATAGGTGCGTTAATTTGGCGTCGTTTAAGGTATCGCTCATTAAAATCTATGGAGAGACTTTGGAGCTAAAATTCGTTAACCAAACCTAAAATATGGAAAAAATGCACAAAAAATACCTTTTTGAAGGCGGCGGGCCCAACTGCCAATTGGGAACAAAGCAAACGAAAAAGGGTTGTACATTTGGTACCTGTTCGCGTTCCTTTGGTATGAAATGTTGTTGACAGTTACTTTTTTCGTTATCAGAGGTAGGATACCTATTCAGGTCAAATATTTCCTTTATATTCTCACAAGTGCAGGTCCACAAAAATTGGATCTCGTCGCGTCTACCTATTCATAGTCATGGATATATAACTCTGTGCCTATAATGTCTGTGCCTTAGTGTAGTTTTGACTTCCCTCAGAATACGATCGTGTGTTTACCAAAACATCTTGCAATTAATTAAAATCAATTGTCATGGATACCTCTGGCCGATCATTTGCATGTGCTTTCCAAGCAGACTCATTTTGCTACATATGTGGTAAGTACATGATGATCAACGAAATAAAAATCGCTTTTACCGAAACTCTCCAAAAACAGTATGAAGAAAACTTTAAAATCAAACCCGAAAGTTTTGTTGAAGAGTGGGCACCAAGCTGTATATGTCAAATGTGTAGATTGAATTTAACAGCATATGATTACGACGAAAAGTAAGTAACTCTAATCCACAAAACTATTAACTTTTCCCAAAATTCTAAACATTATTTTTTTCTTACAATTTTTTTTAGAAAACAATTTAACTTTGGTAGTCCAATGATGTGGAAAAAAACAGATATTCACGGCGCCGAATGTTTCTTTTGTTCAGTAAAGAAAACTGGAATTGGGAAACACTTGAAAATAGTTTACCCGAAACAATCTGGCTTCGGCTTTACCCTTCCTGCTCCTTCCGAGGAAATACCGCCCCTAAAACGCCAAAAAGGAGAGGTATCTTCCTCGTCGAATGGAACAACGGATTCAAGCAATAACTATTCAGGAGAATGGAAATTTTGCAATCCTATTTCACAGGAACAATTGAACGATTTGGTGAGGATCCTGGATCTTCCTAAAAATAAATCCGAGCTGCTTGGATCTTTTTTAAAGGATGCACGTTTATTGAAGGAAGGTGTCAAAATAACTCATTTGCGGACGCGTCATTTGGTTCACGCACAATTTTATATGACGAAGGATGACATGTGCGTTTGCCACGACATTTTCGGACTCTTCAAGCAACTTGGTGAAGCGTACGACCCAAAAGATTGGAGGTTATTTGTTGACAGCAGTAAGGAAAGTTTAAAGGCTGTTTTGCTACATAATGGAAACCAAAAGCCGTCTGTTCTTATCGCCCATGCTGTTAATATGAAGGAAACATATCAAACAATGGCTAAGTTGTTTGTAAACATAAAATATAAAGAACACCAGTGGAAGGTCGCGTGTGACTTGAAGGTTGTAGCCATGTTAACGGGATTGCAAGGTGGTTACACAAAACACTGCTGCTTCCTGTGCCTATGGGATAGTAGAGCTAGAGAACAGCATTATTCAACAAAACTCTGGCCAAAACGGGAGGAACATACTTTGGAAAATTACAATGTAAAGAATGCAGCTCTCGTGAAGTTTGAAGACGTTATTTTACCACCATTACACATTAAGCTGGGACTAATGAAAAATTTTGTTAAAGCACTGGATAAGGAAGGTGAATCGACGAGTTACCTAAAAACTGTTTTTCCACGTCTGTCGCTGGCAAAAGTGAAAGAAGGAGTATTTGATGGCCCCCAAATTCGAAAACTACTAAAAGATGATGGATTTGAAAATATTTTATCTACGAATGAAAAAGCAGCTTGGAACTCATTCCGAATGGTAGTAGCAAATTTTCTTGGCAACAGCAAGAGTGATGATTACGTTAATATCGTTCAAGACCTAATTGAGAATTATGAAAAAATTGGAGCCAACATGTCACTAAAAATCCATTTCCTACACTCCCACTTGGACTTTTTTCCGACAAACCTAGGGGACGTTAGTGATGAACACGGAGAGAGATTTCACCAACAATTAAAGGCTATGGAACAACGTTATCAAGGTGTTTGGAATGAAAACATGATGGGCGACTATGTGTGGACTCTCATAAGGGAATCTGATTGGAGTGACAAAGGAAGACAGCCAGAAAACTTAAATTATTTTATGAACAGTAACAAGCAGTAAAAAATAAAAAGTTTGTATATCCTTAGAATTGACTAAAAAGTCTAAAAATTACTGATTGTTGTATGGGTTAGGGAATGAAATTCTATATCTCAGGTATTTCTACTTTGGTTTAATTGAAATATGAATAGGTAGAAGCGACAAACGTCTAATTTGTGTAAAAATAAAGGTCAACATTTGACCTGAACAGGTACCCATACCTCAGATTGGGCACAACGAAAGAAACATCCAATTTTTGTGGACCTGCACTTGTGAGAATATAAAGGAAATATTTGACCTGAATAGGTATCCTACCTCTGATAACGAAAAAAGCGAACAGGTACCAAATGTACAACCCTTTTTCGTTTGCTTTGTTCCCAATTGGCAGTTGGGCCCGCCGCCTTCAAAAAGGTATTTTTTGTGCATTTTTTCCATATTTTAGGTTTGGTTAACGAATTTTAGCTCCAAAGTCTCTCCATAGATTTTAATGAGCGATACCTTAAACGACGCCAAATTACCTAGACGCCAACGCACCTATACACAAAAAAATAGAGGACACAAGATATAATTTTTTTTCGACTTTTCCTGAGTTTTTAAAGTCAAAATTTCGTTAAAAATACCCCACAAAAATCATCATTTTTGCATTTCAATGCTTTATATTTCCCAGACGGTAAGCTGAAATCACAAAGTATTTGGGCTCAACTTCTAGCTGTTTTAATTACCTTTTCAAAATAGCAAAGTTCTGTACAACCAGACGTAAGATATTAAAGTTATGTGAAAAAAACTATCGCTACCTCTGAAAAAATCTTTAAAAAAAAATACCAGACTTCAAAAATTCTTCAAAAAAAAGTTCTGCCATAGAAAAAAAACCATAATTCTTTAAAAAATTTTAAAGCCCCATATCTACCAGAAAAAGTCGGTTTGCATCCTTGAGAAAAAAAAAAGTTCGGTTTTGTCGAGTAGTGTAATCAGCAGACCCGAGCCCACAAATTTAATGCTTGTTGCTGCTTTTTCGTTTCGCTCTCTCTATCTCTCGTCGATAAACCGAAGCATAGCCAAACATAGCCATCAGAGCCGAGTCGATATAGCCATGTCTGTCTGTCCGTCTGTCTGTCTGTCTGTCTGTCTCGATGACCGCCTAGATCTCAGAGACTATAAGAGCTAGGGCAACCAAATTTGGTTTCCAGACTCATGTGATATCCCACTGTTACAAGTGTATTTCAAAATTTCGCCCCGCCCCCTTCCGCCCCCACAAAGAACGAAAATCTGTGGCAGGCACATTTTTAAAGATACGATAAAACTAAAAACGCAGTATCGTAGAGAATGCCCATATCTACCAGACTGCCGAATCTGAATC